AACAATTAACATTTTATTATGCTTGCTTTGCCTCATATCTACCTGTCTATTCATCCCTCTATCCAACCAGCAATCCACATTATTTTTCTGAAGTTGCAGACATCAGTAAACTTTACCCCTAAACCATTCAGCATGCATATCATTATATAGAGTTAAATATTTTCTTATGGTTCTCTTTTTTGGTTAGGTATAATTTGCATATAATCAAATGCACAAATCTTTTTTTTTTAATTAAATTTTATTGGGGTGACAATTGTTAGTAAATTTACATAGGTTTCAGGTGTACAATTTTGTAATACATCATCTATATATCATATTGTGTGTTCATCACCCAGAGTCTCCTTCCATCATCAACAAGACAAATAACAAATGTTGGAGAGGCTGTGGAAAAAAAGGTACCCTCATACACTGTTGATGGGAATGCAGATTTGTGCAGCCACTGTGGAAGGCAGTGTGGAGGTTCCTCAAAAAATTAAGAATAAAATTACCGTATGACCTAGCAATGCCTTTCCTGGGTATCTACCAAAAAAAATCTGAAAAAATGCACACATCTTAAGTGTACCATTCAGTAAGTTTGCCAAATGTATGTGCCCATGTAACTCAAAGCTTTATCTAGATACAGAGTATTACCCTCACCACAGAAAGTTTTCTCTCCTCATGACGCTTCTCAGTCAATTCCTTCCCAACTGCTATTCTAATATTTGTCACTATTGTCACTATCAGCTAGTTTTATCTATTCTAGAACTTCATATAAATAGTGTCAGTATTTATTCTTTTGTGTTGATTATCTTGCTCAATATCATGTTTTTGAGATCCATCTGTGTTGTTTTGTGTGCGAGGCATTTACTCCTTTTAATTGTTCAGTATTATTCTATTGCAGGTATACACTAATTTTTTTATACACTTTCTTCTTGACAGATACCTGGCCTGTTTCTATTTTGGGGTTATTCTAAATAAACAAACACTTTTATAGAGATATTGTTATGAATATTTTCATTTATCTTGGGTAAATTCCTATTGTAGAAATGAAATCACCAGGTCATAGGGTAGGTGTATATTTACTTTTATAAGAAACTTCCAGAACTATTTTCAAAGGAATTGTACCATTTTAACCCCCAAAAATAATTCTTGAGAGTCCCTGTTGCTCCACATCATCATTTAGCATGGTCAGTCTGTTTAATTTTAGCCATTCTGATGGGTGTTCACCATATTCATTTTTCATTTACAAAATAAGAATACCCACAATAGAAAGCACTTCCATCACCAAGGGATGACTTAGGCAATATCTGTCTTCACTTATCCCTATTTCTATATCAATTTGGGTTTCTTAAGCCATATGATTAATACATTAAATCCTAATTTTAACCCTTAGGAGTTGATTGAAAGATCCATAATTTGGCAATTATTTTAAATGTTTTTGCATTCAACTTGCACTCTAAAAGACTGAACTATTGTTCAAGTTCATTTTATGGGTGTTTTGCTATTAATACTAAGGCTTTCAAAATAGTCAAAATGATCAGGTTAGCTCTTGACTTACACACAATAGATAGATAAATTAAAAAATAAACAAATAATCACAACCTAGTCACTAACTCATAAAATGTCTTTTTTTTTAAGATTTTTATTGGGGAATTGGGGGGATGGGAACAGTGCTGGGGAATTGGGGAAAGGGGAACAGGCAAGTTGCTGTTGTTTTGTTCTTCAATCTAGTTGTGGAGGACGTTGCTTCACTGGCCCAAGTTGGCACCATCATTGCGCTCTTCTCTGGCGAGGCAGATCAGTCGCCGGCTTCTGGACGGCCGCTCACTGCGGCTGCTGGCCGCTCACGCTGGCTGCTGGCCACACACGGTAGCCCATTGCAATCCACTGCCACAGGGACTGCAGCCCACGCCGTCGCCGGCGACTCATGGCAGCCCAGCTCCAGGTTGAGCTGTTGTTCAGCATCTTAGCTGTGGAGGGCAGTGTCACTGGCCCTCACATGTGGGATCCGAACCGGGGCCCTCTGGCATCCCAAGCGAGTTCTTAACCATCGCGCCACTCAGCCGGCCCTCATAAAATGTCTTTGACTGAATTGAGTATCACTTCATGAGTGAGTCTCATAGAACTAAACTTTGACTAAGAAGACTGAATCATTTTAGACTAAGCATAAGTAACATGTAGTAAATTTACCTCCAAGTTAAGTTGCTTCCAGTTCATGGAGGAAGTCCATAGGCCTAATTTTATTTTTATGTAAATGTTTCCTTAGGCTTTATAATTTACCTCTAGGAATTTTCAAGCTTTTAAATGGCTGTTTTCTTGGCTTTTCCTCCACTCTCCGTGGGCTGACTCTTGGTCATTTGTTATAAAAATAACCTATTCTTAATGCTTCTCAGAAATGTATATCAGTCCACTGCTTATAACGTTAGACATATTATAACCCATTTGACAATTTGCCTTTTAATGAGCTTTTATTAATTAGTGGCTGTAATACAGCTTAGTGCTCTAAAGTGGGAGTAATAAAATTTACAAGCCTTGAGGTTAATGTATGCTGGTCAAGGCATCATGAAACACTGATATGGAAGATAACTTAGCCATAGCTCGTTAATTAGTTCCTTTCTTTCCCTATATATACTTCAATTTTCCCAGCTATAAAAGAATAATCTATAAGTATGTGTGTGAATTTTTTAAGCAGAAAATTTGTAATGAAACTTTAGCATCAATTAATTTTTGTTTGGCAGGTTGTATATCTGGTGGTACCTGCAATATATAGTTCCTTCCCACAACATTTAGAAAGGGCAAAATGGTTCCACAGTTCTAGAATTTTTATTGGTTACAAAGGCATTAGGGAGATGGCAGCCAAGGAAATGTGAATTAGGCATTTTAGTTTCTGTTCTGACTTGCCTTTTTAAAGAAACTCTTAATACATAGCTTTAGCTCTCTCTATCTAGCTATAAAATAATAAACAAAATACACTGATTCTAAAGATATGTTAGTATGGTAGTCATTTCTTTAAAGTATATAAAATGTCATCTATATATGAGATTTGCATGTTTTTTGGAATTAAGCCACTAGGCACATATTTTGTATTTCTGAAAATAAGAATACTTCATGGCTTGGAATGATACTGTACTCCCTAATTGCCCACTCATCAAATATACATACAACAGAATCATTATAGGTTTTTGGGGGTTTTTTTAGCCTGCATATGAGCCACCAGGGCGAATGTTATGCGTAGGTGAAAACAGGCAGCTAGCACTGAGATGATGAGGCAGCACAAAAAAGACCTTTCTGCCTTAAAATATTTTCCCTCTAGCCTGCCTTTGGAATAAGACATAACCTTCAACTTTTTCTCTCAAAGTCAATGTATTAGCAGGTAATATCCCAGGATTACTTTTTATTACACAAACTATTAATACCCATTATCCCTTCAGAGTCTAGCAGAGCAATGAGAAGATGGGACAGTCAGAGACATTTTGAGAGGCTGAAATGATATGAAATAGTGAGATGTTGTGTGTATGTAGCTGGGCGGAGTGAGGGTTGGGGGAGTGGGGGTGTGGAGGAAATCCAGGCATCAGGAGGACAGCTTCAGGGTGGAAGGCACCTATGGCAGGAAGTTCTGAAAGAAAGTCCAGGACTTTTGCCAAAGATATATGCTTCCAATGCTGTCCTAGGGCTGGATCTGTGAGATACAAATGAGAAAATAATGTAACCTTTTACTTTTCAGGTAAAGCCACATTTTGCATGTAAGCTCTTTTGAGTCACTTTGTTCTTTCTGACACAGGAAAGACAGAATAGCTTTGCAGGCATTATTGGTACAGAGGCAAAGAATTTTGCATTTTCTGGTGTTATAGAAGCCATACAGTTAGACAAACTCTGCTCATCTACTAAATAAGCACTGAAAATGAAAACTGTCATTGTAAAGTGCTATGTAAATACAAATTCTTTTTACTGTGATTCCAGAACTTAAATAATTCTTACCCCATTTTTGTTCCTGCTAATTACCCCTGACATTTTGCCACTGACCCACTTTGCAAAGGAATCAAATCCAAACACTGCATTATTTAATCAGATTTCATTGCATTTTAAATGAATGGGGATAGAAGTAAAGACAACATATTAGGACAATTGACAAGGGTTCACTTTTAGGCTTCTTCCATTTCTAATCTGTCTCTAAACTTTATCCCTCTTGTTTAGTTTGCTTTATTCAACACATGCTAATTTAGTTGCATATAGAAGAGTTCTATGGACAAGTAATTCCTCTCTTGTTAACCAGAAAAAAAAAGTGATCACTCCATGTTTTAGCATGTTCACATTTGTGTTTTATCATCGCAGTTAATAGAGAAAGGTTCGAGGACTTCAGAAAAAAATTTAAAACGTAACTTCAGTATTTATTTATCTTTAGATTGTTAAGCATAATTATTAGAATTTTATTACTTTTCCCTTTTCTTATAAAATTTTTATTTTTCCATTAAAAACATTTGGCCTCTCATAAATTAACCATAGCAAACAATAAAGGACTATCCGTTAGACTGAGACTAAAGTCCTTCATAAAAATAATTCTCCTTTTGGCTCTCTAATCATATTATGCTAGGGTCTTAATATTAAAAAGAATCTTATAACTGGCGATTGAATAGCTCTTCATTAGTTTCTCTGAAAATAAGAGGTTTTAATTTCTTTTGCAGGCAAGCATATTTTTATGCTTTAAATATATTTTGGAATTTGTTCCAACATTTAAATTGAAAATGTCTGGTATTTTTAATTACTTAAAACGTTTATGATTTTAAGCTCCCAGCAGAAATCTGCTGCTGAAGGGCAAAAGAAAATTAAGAGCTGTTAGTCAGAAAGACATTTATGTAAGAACTATGACATTGGTCATTGGTTTGAAAGCAGTAAGTACTGTATTTTAAACTCAAAGCTTTAAAGAAGATTTGTGGAGCAGTTTTCCTCTTAGGGCTAAGGCAAATGGCTGATGAGTGAAATCCTGGGAATGTTCACAGCTTTTTTCTTTCATTCTGTTGCAGCCCAGAAGATGGTGAGATCCATCCAGAAATCTGTCGGCTTTATATCCAGCTGCAGTGCTGCTTAGAAATGTACACAACAGAGATGCTAAAATCCATATGCCTACTGGGGTCTCTTCAGTTTCATCGAAAAGGTATCTATCTACATTTAATATATTGCCTTAAACATTGAGGAATGTGAAACAAAAGCTCATCTTTTGCAAAGTACCTATATGCACTATATGTCTGTCTACACACAATTAGAATGGATGTAAATGTTCAGGAAATGTTTGATATAAATTAATAAAACAAGTCAATATCAGTACTAAGTGCATAAGAACACTGATCACCTTGAACAGGAATTGTGGTAGAAACAGGTCTCAATTTATTATATTACCACTTGTGAACAAGACTGGTTAGCATCAGCACAGACATCAAAAATATATGATCTTATTAGGCAAGTAAATGCTATCCAAGATTGCTGCTATTTTCCTAAATGAATTAGCTTGCTAGAAGACAAATTACATATTGTATCCCAAAGATATAAAATTAGGGGAAACTCAACAAACAATAGGTAGACATATTAATAACAGAAAATTTCATTACCAGGCTTAAACTATAAAGAGTTGGCTGAAATGACCTGACGCCTCCAGCAGTGGCAGTGACTTCAGCATGGTTTATTCAGACTATTGACTCCCATTCTCAGTGATGCTCTGGCTTCTTGTGGGCATTGGCTTTATCCTCAGGCTGTCTTCCCCACAATAGCAAGCTCATTGCAACAGCTCCAGTCATCATATCTGCATACCATGGGATCCATAAAAAGACAGAATTTCTCCCCGCTATAGACTAGCAAACATCGTGAGCTTCATCCTGATTGGACCAAGCCAGATTATAGGTCTACACTTAAACCAATCACTATAGACAGAGGGATGGAAATTATACTGACTGATTTAGACAATCAAGGCCCATTCCAGGAACTAGGAGAGGGTCAACCCACCCATGATGGGAGAGGGTGCAATGGAGTAGATGCTGGGAGGAAGCCAAAAGTTTCCATTACTGGAGGATTCAACTATATTTTCTTTAATTCATCAAACAATAATTTATTGGGAACTTCCTGAATGCAAACATTTTGTGCTTGAGCTCAGGAAAATTGGGGGTAGATAGAATGTAGTACTTGCCTGTAATTTTAAATTCAGGGATAGAAAAGATCAGTAAACTCTAACACTCAGGAAAAATCTTGTATAAAGGGTAGAACTTGAGCTGGATTGTGAAGATAGGGTTCAGGTAAGGAAAGAAACAGGAAAACATTTCAGAAACAGTGAAAGTAGAGATTTGAAATCAGATGAGCATTCAATTTTTGGAGAGGGCTAAATGACATGATAAAGTACTTATAAAAATCAAATGTTGTGCATGCACATATGTATGCATACAGCAGGACTAAAAACAAGATTATGCTATGCTGCATGATCAGTGTACCACAAATCACCCAGTGTCCAAGTTACAAATCTTTTCTTTTTTCATTCATTCAACACATATTTAATAGCCAGCTACTATATGTTGTTAGTCATCCTTGAAGTCTACTACCCTAAACCTCAAATTTAATAATTTATAATTCATGTTGACTATTAGCTTCTAAACATCTCTTTAATCTTTTGCCCATGTCTACTGTTAGGCCATCATCAAGTGTAACCTATGTTATAATAGTACAGATTTATCCCCCGACTTCCAGCTTCCTTTAGAAAGGAAGGGAAGGAGGGAGGGAGGGAGG